TACAGACCTCACTCTCAGTCAGTAAGTTCTTAGTATTCTTAAGTTGGGAGATCTCTTTCATAACTGTTGGCTCCAAATCGGTAATTTCATTGCTTTTCAGGCATGTTTTAAACCGTCAAAAAGATCACTATCCGGTGGATAACGCTATATCCGATTTTCGTTCATTCAGATAATTCGTCTCTATAGTATAATATATAAATCAGGCGATTATTGCACATTCGGCCCATACCGTAGCCACAGAGCAAATAGCGAGGTTACGATTATGCTATTACCACCGCTACTTTTCCAGTAACCTAAACAAAACAAATCAAACGAGAATTTTATCAGATTAACCAATCACGAGCATAATAGGTCAATCTTTGGTGAGCGGTAGTGGTCTTGGATAATAATAATTAGGAGAATCCGAAAACATTTGGCAACAAAATCACAACTCAGCTGATGCACTTGAAGCCCACACGTCGGTTAGTTCTTGTCATGCGTACTCATTTTGCGCATACTTCATCTAAACATTTCTGAAATCATTTTTATCAGGCGAAGAATGATAAGGAAGAGAGGCGAAAAAATGTGGATTCAGGTATGCCGCATCATCAATTGATACATTCATAGAGATGAATTCAAACACAAAAAGCCATTTTCGCAACCTGTATAAACTGACTGTTAGGAACATATACTGACAATAAAATCAAAATATGAACGCGTGATTATTACTTAAGACGTTATTATTCGGAGTTCGCTAGGTCAAATAACCATATTTTCAGAAATTGTTGGTTGGCACTGGTTTCTGTTCCATGTAACCACGTATGAACAAGATGAATGAAGTGACATTTAAAAGTAATTGTTATTTTTAAATATTCCACTATATTTTTCTTTAATATTTATAGCTACCAGCTGCGCCCAGCATTATAATCTGGGGGCGAGGAAAGATGGTGTTTATACCATTCATCCTGATGGCCTGGGATCGTTCCAAGTCTTGTGTAATATGAGCATGGACGGGGGAGGCTGGACCGTGTTTCAAAGAAGACAAGATGGAAGTCAAAATTTCTACTTTGGATGGTCAGACTATGAAAAAGGCTTTGGTAATTTGAGTGGCGAGTTCTGGTTGGGCCTTGACAAAATACATCGTTTGTCCAAATTTGCCCAAAATGTTCTAAGAATTGATTTGATGGATTTCAAAGGCACTGAACGTTACGCTAAATATGGGACGTTTAGTGTGGCCGATAAATCAGACAAATACAGATTGAATATTGGCAGTTATTCAGGTAATTCACTCTTTAGGATTTTCCGCAGTTGAAACATAGCCACGCGTGAATTAAAAGGTGGCTGTACTGAAGTTTTTTTCTGCGTTGAACAATCATTTGACGAATGTTTTGTTTCTAAAAACTCTTTCTTTATTCTGTCGCTCAATTACATCGTCATTTCCTTTTTCTACCTGCCTAATGTTTGGACGCCACGGGTTTATCTGGTGTGTCACACTTCCCCACAGCCATCTCACTTGCCTGTCTAAGGCGAGAACACCTGAGTTTTTTATTTGAAAGCTTGTCCAAGATAAATATTAATTTTTTTTAAATGTCACGCATTGAGTCATGCATGTTCTTACCGCCAACGTCTTGTTTACTCTTCACGTTATGTATACGACTTTCAGAGTGTATACCTATTATTTCCCTGAAATTTTAACCTGTTTTCAGAGCTTTGCTAAAACATGCAATGTTCTCGCAAGATACTTAAGAAAAGATATTAGATATCTAGTCTTCTTTCCAAAAAAGTCAATTGGGAAAAAATATTGAACTGAACATATAAATTTTTGTTTATTTTCATAAAAGGTGACGCAGGCGATTCTCTTGCTTATCACAATGAAATGCATTTCACTACCAAGGATAGGGACAATGATGTTTGGGAGAATAAAAATTGCGCCACAAGGCGCAAAGGAGCTTGGTGGTACAAAGGTTGTCAGCGTGCCAACCTCAATGGCCTGTACCTGGGTGCAGGTGAAAAAAACAAAACCGGAATATTATGGAGGGAGTGGCAGTACTACTCGTTGAAAAAAGCGGAGATGAAAATTTGTCCTAAGATTTTTGCACCATAATTGAGACACGATGAAACGTTTCTTTCGTGCATTGATATTTGAGTGAAAGAAAATATTTTGACCTGGATTTAGTTCTGTGCAACAGTTAGAAGCAAAATTTAAAATGAGCTGGGAACGGCGAAGTCAATTGAATTAGTTTCGCAGTTAATAAAACGTTACAATGATGTCCGTTTGTCTATAATCAATCGGTTTCACATATTTTTTTTTCATTAAAAATTGTCACTATAGGATGCATGTGTGGTTTAGACGAATTGTTTTCTAGACTAAAATCTAAGATTGGGGCTTTTTAGCAGAGTTTCAGTGAAAAAATAGTTTTGCTGTATACTTAGCGCTCAGTAATTTACACTATGTAATATCATAATATAACATTTATAGTACACGCATGCTGATTGGTCGAAAAGCGTGTTTTTAAAAAAAAGAAGGGAAATTGCATATTCCACGCAGTGGAAAATATACGGCCTTGATATTGGGTATAGGATGCAAAAATCTGTTTATGGTAGTTCTGTGTCTTAATTCGAAAAAGCTGCAAAGATATATTAAAGATACCATGCAGCATAGATATAAGATGTAAGCCTGACTTCAGAGGTCGTATTCCTCATTTCATAAATAGCTCTCGGGACCCAGATTAATACGTATACGATTTTTGAAAGTCCAGATTATCATTTAATAATATTTTCTTCTTATCGTTTTTCACTACGCTAACAACTTGCTGTTTTAGCGCGCTGAACATGTCAGTTTGCTTTAAACTGCTGACAATCGCAGGCCTGATCTCACGAATCTCATTTGTTTCACCTGAAATTAAGGTCAGGTGATTTCAATGACAATTCTTGCTATTGCATCATTGTTAACATTTATTTAGTTTACTAAGTCTTAACTATGACATTAATTCAGTTATTCAGGTAAAACACACCCTGCTTGGTGTGTTATTTACCATACACATAATTATGAAAGTTCAAAATTATACCATATTTCATCAACATGCGCCTTTTTATAGCTAATAACACCAGCACTAGGGGCCAGTTGTGTAAAAGACTATAGTTAACTTTTAACAGTAGTTGAAGAGAGAATTGACCAACCAGAGTCGTGTATTTCTGGGTTAACTAGGATTTAACTATGCAAATGCATTTAAAGAGTTTGATACAACCGGCCAAGTTTTGATTTTACCATATTTATGCCTGGTTTTCGTTTTAATTGTTGTTTTGATAAAACTGTCAGGTTGCAAGAACCATGTAGGCAAAAACAACTGAGCGCCTGTGTGGTATTTTCAGGGCACAAAAAATACATGATTGAATTTTTCAAATTTAACAAGGTAATTACACCTGAAAGTTATTCCACCTTTTGTCAGTAACGATGTTGAACTTCATTTGTTAATTAAACGACTCGCAGGCGACTCCCTCGCTTATCAGAGCCAGATGCAGTTCACTACCAAGGATAGTGACAATGATATTGATAGTGATAATTGTGCTACGAAGTACGAAGGAGCTTAGTGGTACAAGACCTGTTATTCTTCCAACCTCAATGGCCTGTACCTGGGTGCAGGTCAGACTGACGGACCGGAATAAACTCTGGTTGTGTTGGTCAAGTTGGCACTATTTTTCAATGAAAAAAACGAAGATGAAAATTCGTCCAAGCCAGTTTTGAACTTAAGAGCCAGTTTTGACATAATTATACTTACTGGCATGAACATAAGTTTGAAGATTTTTTCTGCATCCTAATGAACATAACAAAATAAAGTTATTTTCGGTTGGTTATTATGCGATTTTAGTCCGTCAAAAATATGCCCCAATGCCCGAACTAATTAATATTGTTAGACTATTATAATTAATGCAATTAGGATATAAAGCAGTAATTAATGTTGAAGACATATCGGACGTTTGCACGAAACAGTTGAACAACTTGTTTTTTGAATCCAAATTATAGTAAGGTAATTTATCCCCGATTGGTTATTCTGTGATTTATGTAAAATATGCTCCAATGCCGGAATTCATTCATTAATGGTACGCTTTTTATTTAATTAATTAATGTATAAGTTTATTTATACTAATTAATAAATATTGCATATGATATGTTACACGTTTGAAATTGCAAAAATTTTCAGCGGATTGCAATTAAGCACGTTGAAATAGTTTGTCTTACTTTCCCGTCACAAATCTGACAAACAAGGTTAGTTTAAAAGTTTCAATCCATATATAGTTTGCACTATAACCCCATTTGTGGCATGCCACGCAACGTCTAATTCACGAACGAAACCCGAAAATCGCTGTGTGGATATACCTTCTCGAGAATCTCGAGAATAAATTAGCTCAAAAAATGTAGAAAATCAGAGAAAACGTATTATATTCTACCACTGAATGTACGATCCAAAATTTCACTTTCTTATACTAACGCAGTTCAAAACAGCAAGTACTCTCAGCAGAAACGGGGAATAAGTTAAAGGCAAGCTGCGATAAGGTGCGTATAAAGAAGCAACGTTTCTAAGACAGTTTAAATTTGAATAAAGCAAACTCGCTAGGTACAGCAGCATGCAATCGATCTCGTATGTTACTTGTGTTTATACTTGATTATCGTTTTTACTGTATAGCAAAATGTATGGATGTAAATACTGATGAGATTGCTTTACAGAACGGTTTTTAGAAACATCCCAATTAAACTGTTCATGAGTCTAATTTTTTTTTTATATAAATATGTTTATATAAAAAAAAAAAAAATGTATGGATGTAAATACTGATGAGATTGCTTTACAGAACGGTTTTTAGAAACATTCCAATTAAACTGTTCATGAGTCTACTGCATGTCATCACTCCAAACCATGAATTGAAATGCAATTTAACGAAACTTTATATCGCGAGTCATGCAGAGATCGATTCGTAAACATCAAGAATCAATTTAATCGGCTTCAAACAATCGTTTAGTTCGCATACGAGTCGCTTAGCTGATCGCGTTCATTTTTATCTGGAAACTTAATTGTCATTCTTTAGTTTGATATCAGGTAAGATTATATATTACTGATATTAACATGGCATGGAAATTAAAAACTGCTATACAGCGTTGCAGTGTTAGGGTTTTCTGTACAACAAAGAACATCTGTGTATTTATATAACGCAAAAGGTTTGTTCTAGAGCGTTCTTGCTTTATTCAGATATACGGTAAAATCTGGTCATAAAACGTCAAAAATTAATCTATAAAAATGCTGTTCGTGCTTATACAAAGCATAAAAAGCAGGTTGAAACGTTTCCAACTTTCATTAAGTATATGTATTTACTTTTCGCACTTAAATCAACTTGCAACTGCTAGACCAGTTATAAGAACGATAAGTATGCATTCTCCAACAGCCCCACTTAGTTGACTCTAAGTCCCAACTCGGCCATTGAATCCGTATTCGATATGCATTTTTCATTCCAATTTCCCGTTCCCGCGAATTTGCATGATACAGTATATTATTAGTTTTGAGTCATATAGCCATAATTTCAGCCGGAAATATAAGATAGCCTTTAGATAGGGTTTATTTCAGAAATGCCATTATGATTGTGCAATGGCGGAGTGTCGAAAAATATAATACATGATCTGTCCTACTCATATAAACAAAACAAAGCGACAATTCCAAGTGCATTGCGAAATCCTGTACAGCGTTATGTATCTTGTGGCTCTTGCACAGAGTTGAAAAAACGAAGGCTCTTGCCACTCTTCTAATATTGAGTCGGGCGCAAAAAATATATATTCTAAAGCTTATGGTAATATTGCGTCTAATCTCAGCTATACCCGCGAACCTTCAGAGTCAGACATTTCAATCATTCCATAAATACGAGATCCAGGCTAATAAACGGGACCGATTTTAATAAGTTAGTAAGCCTCGATCATCATATTTCTTTCCAGTCATGTATTTCACATAGGCAAACAACTCTCTGTTTTAACGCGCTGAACATGTTTCGCTTCAAACTGCTGGTAATCAATGTCCTGATCACGTGGAACTCATTTGTCTCTCCTGAAATTAAGGTCGGATGATTTCAATGTTAATTCTTGTTATGATTCACTTTATCGTATTCTCAATTTCATTGGTTAATTTACCTGCAGTTAACCGTGCAAATAATACTCTGAGAATGAGCATTTGTTAAAAACGTTCCTCAACTCCAAATAATACTCTGAACATGCGCATTGGCTTCAATTTTGTAAACAGCAATAGCGACTCGCTTTGCTGGACTTTTGGAAAATGAGTTCTATTGCTTACTTGAAAAAAACGTGGACAATACCAAAAGATAAGTGAATGATAAAACAATTATTGAACTCCGTTCTCGCAAAATTCGTGATTTGTCGGTGGCTCGGAGAATATTTGGATCTGCTCGCCGCCGAGAAATCACGATATTTTGCTCGACCTCGTCCAATGATTAATTATTATCGCCTCATTATAGATTATCTCTAGTATCGTTCAAGCTAAATTAAAATGAATTTGTTGATGTATCTTGACAGATTGTGGACATTCAAACAGGTTATGATCCTGGCTCGTGTAGCAAGAAAGAACGTGGTTTGTTAAAATTGATCAAAGATCGTTCTAACAATGATAAACTGCTAATTTGCGTCGAACAAAATGAAGTTTATGCCTGGAAAACAACGGACGGTAACGTTTCGAGTGTAAAGTATTATAAAAGTTCGGGAATATCCTCTCAAATAATCTCTCTTTTGTGCCGTGTCTTTTTTGATCAGCCACAGAGAACATTTATTTTCATTCTAGGTTCCAGTCCATCAGGAGAATATTTCAACCCCGGCTATAACTGCACGGACATTCTGAATAAGAATTTCGAGTCTCGCGATGGTTTTTATTGGATAAATTTGAATCAAGGCGCTCCTAAAAGGGTTGGTAAATTAGTCATCTTTGAAACACCTGGAATGTTATATATATGTTATTTACCAGATTGGAGGTCCGTATAGGAAATATACGGACCGACTAAACTGGTAAATAATAGATTTATATTTTTCTTGCTGTCCGAATTTATATTCTATACGGACCGCTCGCGTAGCGAATCAGATTGCAGGAAAGGCTAAAATATGAATTCGGACCGCAAGAAAAAAAATAAAATCAATTATTTTCAAGCCTCTTCAGTCTCCTCTTAATTGCTAATTTTTACCGCAGGTTTATTGTGACATGACAACAGATGGAGGAGGATTTGCGCTGATTGGTAAACTCAACAGTTCTGTAACATTGAAAGTTCCATCCAAAAACACAACAGTTGACCCATTTGGTGAATCTCAGTGGTCCAGTGATCTCGGTGACGCTCAAGTTCTTGATTTCAGAATACAAATATCAACAACAGAGAACTTAGCCAAGACAAATGCTCACTGGTAATAAGAGCAGTAACGTATTTTCTGTCGAAAATCTAACATCAGTTTCCCTATTATTTTTGGTCACTATTCTAGCAAGAAAAAAGCGTCAAAAATATATCTTATGTTTAAAATCTGGCATTCTATATATAAGATCTCCTTCACATATTTTTATCTTGCATTCTAAATGCGCTGTTACACTATGCAACTTCTTCGCAACTTGGAATGCAATTATAATTTCGAGGAATGTTAATTTTTAAAGAGTGCATGTTCGAAACAACTTTAGATGCCTCAGGAGTTGTTGCATGGTGTAACACCTCCTTGAATGCGTGCAGTGCATGTTGTTTCCTTTTTCCCTTTAAATCATCATTCTTTTTGATTTTCAGGTCCTACAGACTGCGAAATATACGTCCTCTCAAGAATATCATGATTGTTAATCAGGGGGGGGTGTGATGCGTCATCACCAGGCATTGGTGACATCGCTTATGTCAAAGATCTCCGGACTGAGAAAATTGTAACAACAAAATTCCGTTGCTCGCAATTTGGAACACATCAACATTCTTTTCTGAAAATCGGATGGGTTGGTTTTTGAGTCAAAGTTTCTTAACTGCATGCTATAGACGTTTTAATGCATGGTTCGTTTTAATGCTTTAATGTTTCCGTGGGAAATAGAAACGAGCAAGATATTATCAAATGTACAGTATATATAGTGCTATATTGTAATTGCTATATTGCTATAAACTATATTGTAGTCTAGCTTAGTTTAAAATTGATTACGTTTTTCGTTTTTTTAATTCAAGGCGATGATGAACGAGTGCTTCAAAAAACAATGTCCTCAAGGTTTTGCCTTTCACCAAAAATTTCTAATTCAAACAGACTCGTCCGGGTCGTTCAGGTAAAATAATCTACTAAACGCTATCGCCAAAGCGTATTAACGATATCTTATAAATATCTTAAATATGAACTACTAAGCGTGCAACCAGCCAGTTTGCTTTAATTTTCATTGTATTATCTATTTATAAGTTTTGAATGGTTGGTGTAGTTAGTCGCTATTTTTAATAGGTGGAATGGTTTATGCAGTCAGGATTTGGTATCAGTCGTTCGATTAAATTATTTTTTGTTTTTCTGTTTTACTAGCTACAGTGTGGTTGGTGATACGTCTGGGATCCGTCACAATTCAACAGCATTTATTGGCTGTGACAAAGGAGTGGTAGGTCAATTTAAGTCTTGTCAGTCAAGACTCTTAGACCTAAAAAACAGCTGAAATTAACTGGACAACAACAATCCACTGGCATAGATTGATTTTATACGACAAGCGATCTCGTTTTAAATGGAATAAGGATAGTTTCGATTCCCATATTAGTGCTGCAGTTGTTTTAGTCCACCAGAAAGCACAAAAGATCTCTGCGGCACCGACTGTAAGGCAAGACCCGGCGCTAATGTGGTAAAAAATGTTTATTCATGGTTCTGGGTAAGGATATCTTCTCCAAAGAAAGTTTGGAACAAATGCATGGATTATAAAGTTTCTGAAGCGAACGGAGACGAAGTCTGGTACAAGTTGGTTAGTCAAAACGTTGTTCCTGAGAGAGTAAGCCCGACTTCTTTTGTCGTGTTTAAAAACCGCACAGTAATCTTCTCGTTAGACTTAAAGTACTCAATGTTGACCTTCTCTTTTATTATAATTATTGTTTACTTCCTTTTAGGGACGTTGCTCTACAGCCAAGCCGCATATTTACGATGGAGTAAGTAATATTATATATAAGAACTATTATTCAGTGAAGTTTTGTAAAGCCTTCCTGTGCATAGGACTTATAGAAAAGGTCTTAATAAAGGTTTTTTTCACTCTGGTTATTGAAACGATTATCATGCAAATGCTCTACCCTGGGCAAAAAATGTGGTTATAAAACAATCACAAAAATGTAAGTAAATTAGCTTGTAGGTACACTACGCAAGTATTTATTAATGCAAAGTTTTCGGTCCGTTAACCCAGGCCTTCATCAGTGCAATAAGAAAAGCATTACAGTAATAAATACTTATACGTGGTGTACCTACAAGCTAATTTACTTATTGATGTCACCATGCACTTATTTTCCATTAATGAAAGAATTTTTGATGTCACATTTTCTTTCAATTTTTTTCTTAGATTGTAGTTGTTCCTGACAATGCAACCATCAATAAAATTCCAGCGGCTCCAGGAATCTTAACGTTCCGAAAGGACAATCAAAAACTTTATCTACGATCAAGGAAAAGCTGGAATGTCATTGCAGAAGAGAAAAAGGTGCAATTATAACTCGTAGGATCAATTTTTATATTTTTAATTCCAATAATTTTAATACTTGATCAATATATACTCCGAAATTACGGCCTAGTCGTTAAGACCTTATCTGAAACAGCAATCCTATCCATTATAAAGTTTTAGTTCGTATTTTTCGTTATTCCACAATTGAGTTATCAAGGTTTCATTCTTAGCTTAACCAACTTAACGCCGCCGTTGCGAATCTTACGGATCATTTGGTCGCATTGAATCAGATTCTTGGAATTAAAGGTTCGACTTATACTAAATTTTATATGTTCCTTTCCGTCGTTCCCATAGATAAATAATATATTATATTGGCATACTGTTAATTAATTCTCTAGAAGCTTGTATTCAAACTCACGCAGCCAGTTGTACCCATTATTATAAATGTGGCATGAGACAGGATGGTGTTTATACAATAAATCCTGATGGTCTGGGATCGTTCCGAGTCTATTGTGATATGAACACAGACAGAGGAGGCTGGACCGTGTTTCAAAGAAGACAAGATGGAAGTAAAGATTTCTACCTTAAATGGTCAGACTATAAAGCAGGCTTTGGTGATCATTACGGCGAGTTCTGGTTGGGCCTTGATAAAATACGTCGTTTATCCAAATCTGGCCAAAATGTTCTAAGAGTTGATTTGATGGATTTCAATGGCGCTGAACGTCACGCTAAATATGGAACGTTTAGTGTTGCTGATGAATCAGACAAATACAGATTGAATATTGGCAGTTACTCAGGTAAATTAAACCCTGGGTTAGATTGTAACTTTTCGAAACTTGCGGTATTCGTATATACCAAAAGGTACGCAGCGACAATTTAATTTCAACAAAAATATTTGTTTATGTCAAGTTGGGTAAAAAATATAAACCACGCAGTTTATATAACGCATGTAGGAAGATTTTAAACATATTTCATAGTTGTACTCTGGTTTTCACAGCTAATATAACACCACCACTAGTTTTTGCATTGAGCATATTAATTTCTATGCATTTTAATTTTTTTTAATAATTCATTTTAATCATTTTCGTGCAGGTAATCAAGCGATTCATAAAAATCAATTATCTTGCATTCTATACCATAAGATCGATAAGTCTCTGTGCTACTTTTGGGGCACAGTGCAAGATTATTACACATTTTGTCATTACGATTTGTTAAAGTTGAACTTTATAATTATTTGTTAATGAAACGAAGGATAACTAAGAATGGCTTAAAAAAATTCTCTATTTCATATAAATATGTCTAGCAATTTGACAAAACGCTTTAACCACCAAAAAAAACATGGCCAGAAAATTGACCTAACGGTTGATAAAATTACAGACCTTCAAGATGATTTAGAGCTCCCCCGATTGACAAATGCAGCAGGTTTTCATACGCGTGAATGAACGCAATCCAATCGATACCGTGCAGATTAGCGGTTTAGAGATAAAGTAAACCAAACTGGTAAAATTGCAGGAAATGCAGGCAATTTTGGTTTGCCTCGTCGAATTCAACCTACGTCGATGAGATTTAACGGCAATGACTCAACCGCTACTGCCTACTTTGCATTTCATCATGCAAAATTTAAAAAAGTAATATTACCTTTTGATTCTTTTTTTCTATTGAGGAGTTTTATCGTATTTCTTAAAAGGTGACGCCGGTGATTCCCTTGCTTATCACAATCAAATGCAGTTCACTACCAAGGATAGCGACAATGATGCTCGAAGTTATGAGAATTGTGCTACGAGATTCAAAGGAGTTTGGTGGCACCACAGCTGTTATTATTTTAACCTCAATGGCTTGTACCTGGGTGCAGGTCAGACCAGTAACAGCGGAATAAGATGGAAGAGTTGGCACTCTTATCCCAGGAAAAAGACAGAGATGAAAATTCGTCCAAACCAGTTCTAAGAAAAGGACGAGCTTTAGCAGGGACATCATAAACATATTTACTGCCAAGAACATACAGTGTGCTGATTTTTCTATAATTGTGAACAGAAAAATGCATGCAAATAAATTTGTGATTGTTTAGTATCATTCTAGTCGCAAAAAATACTCAATTGGTATAATAACAGTATAAAAGCAGAACTAAGCCAGTGATAGTTACTAAGGAATAAGGATGCAAAAATTCAGACCTGTTTACTTGTGCTAATTTTGAGTAAGTATAGTGCTTATAAAAGCAGTAACATTCTAATTTCGGGAAGTTTAAGTGACTGCCAGGGATCATGTTATTTACTTATTTCAATACCTCAAAGTCATTTCACGCCGGCTTTTAACTCGAGTATCCGGGATCATAAAACCTTAACCAAATGAATACGTTTGAAACTTTTGACTAAAATAAAGTTTTGTAGTAGCTGAACCTTCAAAAGATGTGCTTGAAAAACAAGTCGGAGGTCTTTCTTCTCACAGTCAAAAATATTACCATACGGGCATGTACGAAATCTAAGGGGCTGCTTACATAAGCTCGTTTAACCGAGATTCAAAGAAGCGAGTGATGATTTTGACGTATTGAAATAAGTATACATATCACATGACCCTGTGATGTAATCATCTTGACAATAGCTTGCGCTTGTTTGATTTAATATAGACTTATTCCAATACCTTAATAATTATCATCATCTTACGCTTCGCTAACCGGACACATGTAAACAGGCCCTCAGTAACGTATTTCAAAATATCAATTGATGAATATTATGATCATAGACCATAGCGAGACGATTCACTCCCGCGAGGAATCTTTGTAAAACAATAAATATTATAGATAGTTTTTAAGCTTTTTATTATGCTAATATTATAGCTGTGGTTATAACATTTCTTACTAGTGACATTAAGTTCACGTATAAACAGGAGATTCTATCGTATTTAGAATAATAAGCAATAATTATAGTGACCTCATCATTAACCAGGAGGGTTAAGCCGAGTACAAATAATCCTGGACACCGTTAACAGCTAGGGTACCGGGTTACTATCGAAACCATCCTCGTCCCCAGGGCTGGGACGAGGATGTATCGAAACAGGTGAAATTTTGTAGTTGTGACGGTAGAGATTTTTAATGTCTGAGCTCTCAATAAATTTATTTAATATTCATTATTTGTAAACTTACGTTTTTATTGATCGATTTCTTTACCACGTGAGGGTATAGAATCGCCTCAATCTTTTTGTACAAACTGCGCTCTTCGAGCTCGGTCTGTTCAAAAAGACTTCGAACCGATATTTCTCGGTAAAGACCTCGCGCTCGATTAATAGGATTTTATAAATCACACGATCTTATTCAGCGTTATCGACCTTAGGCTCATTGGCATTGCTTGTTAGAAAAAAGGGAAATGCAGTTTACTTGTTCTTATCAACAACAGCATTTTGTTGAACAATTCAATGTTTTCACTATGCAGAATTCTCGTATTGACGTATTTTATACTATCATGCACTGAGTGATTTGATATTTAGCCCCCTCTTAAAATGACAGCTATTTTGATACAGGCCTACGATTCCATATAAGAATTAAAAAAGCGGTATAATCCATGACTGTAGGCCGTTTTTGTGACATCACTAGGCATTTTAAGACACTGGTCCTGACGGATTACGACCAGTGTAAAATGTTTGCCTAATAAATAAACGTTTGTCGAGCTTACGTGAAGTTTTAGACAACACGAACGGCATGAGCAATGTCAAAAGACTGGGTCAAGGATTGTGATTGGTGAAAAACAAAAACTTTACTTCCGGTCAACGTACGTGTTGTCAAAAACGTTACTTGCTTGAGTTCATTAATGTTTTATTAGATTTATTATGATAATAGAGAGGTTAAGATACCCGTAAAAGAGAGAAAAACTGATGGAAATTCATTGAACAAAATAAGGCTATCCGTACCCGTACACCGGAACCGGGGTATCTTAACCTCTCTATTTATTGACATCATAATTACCAAAAAGCTAATGCATAGAAGTACCGATTATCCATTCAGGACGACGTTTTACTCGGTCTAATTAAACTAAGAGGGGTTTAAAACGGCGCTTTCTAACTTGGAAAGTTATTTGAAGATGTGCATAGTTCATAAACAAGCAAGATAATGGTGTTTTTCCAATGGTCGACATGTCATGCATAACAGGGTTCGGCAGCGGATTGTGCTTATATGCGTCTAAAATGCTAGTAAAGCCCATCGCATAGGAGAGCTATCAGCTGAGCTAACGACCTCGCGAGGCAGTCAGCTCAGCCCGTCCGCACACGAGAGAACCTTGCCTCTCGAGACGAATTCCTCACGAAAACTATCCGCACACGAGAGAAACTTGCTGAGCTAATAGACTTGTGAGGTATTTATTTAGCTCAGTTGATAGCTCTCGTGTTTGGCGGGCTTTTAAGAGTTTGCCTGATTGCTATCAGCCAGCGCTGTTCGAAAACGCACATGTATTGCACAAGATTTGACAGCGCTTAAACACACAAGAAATCATTTGTTTGTGTCCATATTGTAGAATGAAAAATAGTGCACGGAACTTGTTCTCGCTGTCATGAAGTAATGAAATATACCTGCGAGCCTAATTTTGAGAAACGTCATAGGCAGGACTCGCAATAACAGCCACTGGCAAATCCCTCGCGGAAAGGAACGCTTTTTGTCCGTTTCAACCTAATCAAAATAACTTTCGGCTTCGCTTTTGTGAAACTAAACTATTTTTATGATATATATTTTACAAACAACTATACGCTTTAATTACTCAATTAAGTATTTATGAGTTATGACCATTTATCGCAAGAGAGAAATAATATATTAGCTTCGTTTTTATTTTATTGAAAGTGTAGGGGTACGTGGTGTAGTGAGACTATTATGTGGACTACAGAGAAAGGCGGTTGAGAAGGAGGATTTAAGATCAAAATGGTTTGTCCCATATTTTTGCTTCAGATATTTTTATGTACCTTACAACAGGTATGGTTTAAACCCGCCGCACACGAGAGCTATTAGCTGAGCTAAAGACCTTGTGTAGCTGTTAACTCATGGATTTCAGGCTGAGCTAACTGCTAACTGTGCTACGCGAAATCGTTAGCACAGTTGATAGCTCTTGTTTGCTGCGGGCTTAATGTCAAAAGTGCATTAGTCGATAAGTGCATTATTCAACAACGAGTATGACATCGCAATAAAAATAATAAAATATTCAACGTCTAGTCGTTGATATATAAAAGTAACAGAATAAAATTTTCCCCACGTCATGTGTACTGCAGTAATGCACAGCGGACGCTACAGCTTTCAGAAGACAAAAATGTTGCGGCCTTCTCCTGCTACTCGTGCGTGATTTTGTCTTTTTTTTCTTTACCGCGCAAGACATCAAACCAGAAATTATTACTGCACACATGCGCTTGCTCATTACAATGAATAGAGTATAAACATATTCATAAGTAGCATAATTACGCCCAAGACCTGCTGACTTATAACCTGCTTTGTTGATTGCATCTAAGCGTCATTTAAGCGACTGCTTGTCGAAGAAAGCACAGTTGACGACCTCGTGAAATCATGTTTAAAGAAATAACCTTGATCTTACTGACAATCAAAATTTCACGTATCTCTTCACAGAAATGTTCTTCCGAGATTTTTACTACTATTAGAAACGGTAATATCTCGGTTGCTTTTTCCTAGTTAAAACGAATCGGGTTACTAGGGTTGATGAACTTTTTCCTTTGATTATTTCCTTTCCCTTACCTTAACATTTTTGCTACTTTTAGGAGGTCCGTCTTTACGTCCAGAAGATATCATATCAAATCATACCGTCAACTACGGAATTCTCCCGATAGAATGTTACGAGCTCTGCCAAAAGGAACCGAAATGTATTGGATTCAACTACAGAGACAAGATCGATGTTGTGAACTGCCAACTGACTAACATCACTGGAAAGGGAAATCACTTTGAAACAACGGAAGAAGGGGAATGGATACTAATGAACGATAATAAAGCCGTATGTATTTGCAAAGTTACTGTTTATAAAGAGCTTGTGTGGAGAGAAAATATATAGCGGATAAGTCGTAAATTAAACCTTTAACTTAGGCAACAACAAAAAACTCATCCAGACGACGAACGTCTAGCTAAACTTTCATGTTTTACTCGTCATACGTACTCCAGCGTACTTCATGCAATAATTTCCAAAGGTCTCTTCACACCAATCGAATTTTGTTGGATCATTTTCCCTTCTGATGGATGTTTTACAGTCTGGTAATTGTCTTGCATATGGGCAGCAAAGCACTGAAGCTAACGCAGTTCTGCTTTATGAATTACTCACTATATTCCATACCTCAGAGGTTAATTGGATACAAAATAATTGGATTATGCGAACAGACCCTAAAATCATTCTCTTTTAGGAAAGAAACGAGGACGAGAAGAGCAAAAATGACACTTCAGGTATTCTCAAGGAAGGACAATTGCAGTAAAACTTTCCTTAACTTCCTCCCCTTAGCCTCTTACGCACGCATTATCATACGTTATTATTTATTTAAACTAATTCACAGCCTTTTAATCCCTAACAGCCCATGCATGTGTGGAACCGTCATGTCTAACGAACGACGTCATAGCATCAAATAAGCGATGCTTTACGCTGTCGCGTTCTTTGTACATTCGTACACGCACGTAAAACTTAAAATCATTAATTTTTTAAGTGATACTTATGACATCAACGATTGAATCTATAAATGCATATAATAGGGTTGGATTCTGTTGAAGATTTGGCGTGTTTTTTCTGCAATAAAAATAATTATATAACAACTTAGACGGTTCTTTTTATTCCAACTGTCTTACGATTTTCTACTGATTCCTTCGTAAACCGATTGTTACGTTTATAAAATATGCTGAAGTATACTGTGTTGCTCACTGTGCTGAGAATTTTCAATTTTTTATTCATATACATGCAAATTTAACTCTCTCTAAAGACTGGAACAGTCAAATAGTTTCAATTTTTCAATTGCCAACAACGTCAGTTTCCAGGAGGATATCGCATATGGATCATATTCTTTGATATTCTACAATTCTTTAGCTAGAAGCTGCGCCCATCTGTACGGTTTAGGAGTGAGAAAAGATGGTGTTTATACCATCAATCCTGACGGCCTGGGACCGTTCCAAGTCAGATGTAATATGAGCATAGACGGTGGAGGCTGGACCGTGTTTCAAAGAAGACAAGATGGAAGTCAAGATTTCTACCTTGGATGGTCAGACTATAAAGCAGGCTTTGGTGATCTTGATGGCGAGTTCTGGTTGGGCCTTGATAAAATACATCGTTTGTGGAAATCTGGCCAAAATGTTTTAAGAGTTGATTTGATGGATTTCAATGGCGCTGAACGTCACGCTAAATATGGAACGTTTAGTGTGGCTGATGAATCAGACAAATACAGATTGAATATTGGCAGTTATTCAGGTAAATCAAACTTTGGGATAGATTTTGACATTTTTATTTAATCGTACATAATAGCAGGTTACACGAATCACGTAAATTTCAACAAAAATATTTGTTTATATCAAGTCATTTAAGAACTATATATCACGCAGTTTATATAACGCATAGGAAGATTTAAACATCATATTTCATGGTTGTACGCTGGTTTTCACAGCTAATAACACCACCACTAAATTTTGCATTGACCATATTAATTTTTTTGCATTTTGATTATTCTTAATAATTCGTTTGATTATTTTCGTCAGCAAAAAACGAGGAGGTAATCAAGCGATTCATAAAAATTAATTATCTTGCATTCTCTCTCTGTGCTACTTTTGGGGCGCGATGCGAGATTATTACACATTTTTCATTACGATTTGTTGAAGTTGAACTTTATATTTGTAATGAAACGAAGGATAACTAAGAATGGCTTAAAATGATTCTCTATTTCATATGAATATTTCTAGCAATTTCACAAAACGCTTGACAACTAAAAACAGCATAGTCAGAAAATTGACCGAGCGGTTGATAAGATTACAGACCTTCAAGATGATTTAGAGCTCCCCAGATTGACAAATGCAGCTGGTTTTCACACGCGTGAATGAACGCAATCTAATCGATACCGTGCAGATTAGCCGGTTAGAGATAAAGTAAACCAAACTGGTAAAATTGCAGGAAAGGAAGGCAATTTTGGTTTGCCTCGTCGAATTGAACCTACGCCGATGCGATTTAACGGCAATATCTTCACCCCTACTACCCTACTTTGCATTTCATCATGCAAAATTTAAAAAATAATATTATATACGTTTTGGTTTAAATTCTTTTTCGATTGGGGATTTTTTTTGTATTTCTTAAAAGGTACCACAGGTGATTCTCTTACTTATCACAATCAAATGCAGTTTACTACCAAGGATAGTGACAATGATGTTGATAGTAGTAATTGTGCTACGGCCTGGAAAGGTGCTTGGTGGTACAGGAGCTGTCATCGTTCTAACCTCAATGGCCTGTACCTGGGTGCAGGTCAAAATGATGCCAGTGGAATAAGATGGTACTATTGGCATATTTATTCATTGAAAATGACGGAGATGAAAATTCGTCCAAACCAGTTCTAAGAAAAGAACGAGTTTTAGCAGGGAAGAAACATATGCCAAGAACATATAGTGTGTTGATATTTAATTGTAAATAGAACAATGCATACAAATCAATTTGTGATTGTTTACTATCATTCTAGTCGCAAAAAATACTCTATTTATATTATAACGGTCTAATAACAGACCTAAGTTAGTGATAGTTACTAAGGATGCAAAAATTCAAACCTGTTTACATTAACTCGGTTATCCGATATTCAAAGAATTGTAGAATAACTTTGAGTAAGTAGTCTTTATAAAACCAAGTTGCAAGAATATCGTAATGTTTAGGGATGTTTAATTAAAGCGACTGCCAGAGATCATATTTTTTACTTATTTCAATGCCCTCAAAGTCATTTCACGCTAATGGTTTGATCTCGAGTATCCGGGATCATAAAACCCTAACCAAATGAATACGTTTGAAACTTTTGACTCCAATAAAGTTTTATAGTACCTGACCAATCAAAAGATGTGATTGAAAAACAACTCGGAGGTCTTCCTTTTCACAGTCAAAAATGTTACTATGCAGGCATTTACGAAATCTAAGGGGCTGCTTACATAAGCTCGGTTAACTGAGATTCAAAGAAGTTAAAATCGAAAAAGGTGAAATTTTGTAGTTGTGACGGTAGAAATTTTTAATGTCTGAGCCCTGAATAAATACATTTAATATTCATTTTTTGTAAACTTACGTTTTGATTGATCGATTTGTATACCACGCTAGGGTATAACATCGCGTCAATCTTTTTGTACAAACTACGCTCTTCGAGCTCAGTCTGTTTAAAAAGACCTATGTTTCTCGGTAAAGACCTAGCGCTTGGTTAATAAGAAGTTATTCATATAAATCATACGATCTTATTCAGTGTTTTCGACGTCAGCCGGCTCATTGGCAGTGCTTGTCAAAAAAAGAGAAAATGCAGTATACTTGCTCTTATCAACAACTGCACTTCAACAATTCAATGTTTTCACTATGTAAAATTCTCGTATTGATGCATTTTATACTATCATGCACTGAGTGATTTGATATTTAGCCCCCTCCTTAAAATGACAGCTATTTTGATACAAGCCTGTGATTCCATATAAGAATTAGCTAGGAAAGCGGTATAATCCATGAATGTAGGCCGTTTTTGTGACATCGCTGGGCATTTTAAGACACTGGTCTTGACGGATTACGACCAGTGTAAAACGTTTGCCTAATAAATAAACGTTTATCGAGCTTACATGAAGCATCAGCAATGTCAAAAGACTGGGTCAAGGATTGTGATTGGTGAAAAACAAAAACTTCACTTCCGGTTAACATACGTGTTGTCAAAAACTTTACTTGCTTCAGTTCATTAATGTTTTATTAGGTTTATTATGATAATAGAGAGGTTAAGATACCCGTAAAAGAGAGAAACACTGATGGAAATTCATTGAACAAAATAAGTCTATTCGTAACCGTACACCGGAACCGGGGTATCTTAACCTCTCTATTTATTAACATCATAATTACCAAAAAGCTAATGCATAGAAGTACCGATTATCCATTCAGGACGACGTTTTACTTACACTAATTAAACTAAGAGGGGTTTAAAACGGCGCTTTCTAACTTCGAAAGTTATTTGATGATGTGCATAGTTCATAAACAAGCACGATAATGGTGTTTTTCCAATGGTCGACATGTCATGCATAACAGGGTTCGCCAGTGGATTGTGCTTATATGCGTCTAAAATGCTAGTAAAGCCCATCTCACACGAGAGCTATCAGCTGAGCTAACGACCTCGCGAGGCAGTTAGCTCAGCCCGTCCGCACACGAGAGAACCTTGCCTCTCGAGACGAATTCCTCACAAAAACTATCGCACACGAGAGAAACTTGCTGAGCTAACAGACTTGTGAGGTATTTATTTAGCTCAGTTGATAGCTCTCGTGTTTGGCGGGCTTAAGAGCTTGCCTGATTGCTGTCAACCAGCGCTCTTCGAAAACGCATACGTATTGCGCGAGATTTGACAGCGCTTAAACACATAATATAAGAAATCATTTGCTTGTGTCCATATTGATGAATGAAAAATAATGCACGGAACTTGTTCTCGGTTGTCATGAAGTAATGAAATATACCTGCGAGCCTAATTTTGAGAAACGTCATAGGCAAGACTCGCAATAACAGCCACTGACAAATCCATCGCGGAAAGGAACGCTTTTTGTCCGTTTCAACCTAGTCAAAATAAATTTCCGCTTCGCTTTTTACAAACTAAACTATTTTTATCTTCTATATTTTACCAACAGCTATAAGCTTAATTACTCAATTAAGTATTTATGAGTTATCATTACTTTATCGCAAGAGAGAAATAATATATTAGCTTCGTTTTTATTTTATTAAAAGTGTAAAAGTACGTGGTGTAGTGAGACTATTATGTGGACTACAGAGAAAGGCGGTTCAGAAGGAGGATTTAAGATCAAAATGGTTTGTCCCATATTTTTGCTTTAGATATTTTTATGTACGTTACAACAGGTACGGTTTAAACGCGCCGCACACGAGAGCTATTAGCTGAGCTAAAGACCACGTGTGGCTGTTAGCTCATGGTTTTCGGGCTGAGCTAACTGCCTCGCGAAATCGTTAGCACAGCTGATAGCTCTTGTTTACGGCGGGCTTAATGTCAAAAGTGCATTAGTCGATAAGTGCATTATTCAACAAGAGTATGACATCGCAATAAAAATGATAAAATATTCAACGTTTAGTCGTTGATATATAAAAGTAACAGAATAAAATTTTCCGCACGTCGTGTGTTCTGCAGTAATGCACAGCGGACGCTCCAGCGTTCAGAAGACAAAAATGTTGCGGCCTTCTCCTGCTACTCGTGCATGATTTTGTCTTTTTTTTCTTTTCCCGAAAGACATCAAGCCAGAAATGATTACTGCACACATGCGCTTGCTCATTACAATAAATAGTGTATAAATATATTCATAACTAGCATAATTACGCCCAGACCTGCTGACTTATAACCTGCTTTGTTGATTGCATGTAAGCGTCATTTCAGCGAGTGCTTGTCAAAGTAAGCACAGTTGACGACCTCGTGCAATCATGTTTAAAAAAATAACCTTGATCGTACTGATAATCAAAATTGCACGTATTTCTTCACAGAAATGTTCATCAGCGATTTTTATTACTATTAGAAAAGGTACTACCTCGGTTGCTTTTTCTTAGTTAAAAAGAATCGCGTTCGTAGTGGTCGAGAACTTTTTCCTTTGAAAATTTCCTTTCTCTAACAATTTTCGCTACTTTTAGGAGGTCCGTCTTTACCTCAAGAAGAAATCATATCAAATCACCGTCAACTTAAGAACTCTACCGAAAGAATGTCTCGAGCTCTGCCAAAAGGAACCGAAATGTGTTGGATTCAACTACAGAGACAAGATCAGTGTTGTGAACTGCCAACTGACTAACATCACTGGAAAGAGAAATCACGTTGAAACAACAGAAGAAGGGGAATGGATACTAATGAACGATAATAAAACGGTATGTAAAATATATTTTAGATTCGCAAAATTACTGTTTGTTTTTAAAGAGTTTGTGTGCATTTCCAAAGACTGTTCGCACAAATTTTGTTAGATCCAAATCCCTTTCTGATGGATGTTTTTATAGTCCGTTAATTTTCTTGTATGTGGGCAGCAAATGAACTGAAGCTAAAGCAGTATACTGCTTTATCAATTACCCACTATATTGCACACGTCAGAGGTTAATTGGATACAAGAAAATTAGATCGTTTGAAGAGACGCTAAAATCATTCTCTTTCAGGAAAGAAACGAAAACAAGAAGAGCAAAAATGACACTTCAGGTATTCTCAAGGAAGGACAATTGAAGTAAAACTTTCTCTCACTTCCTCCCCTTAGTCTCTTACACACGCATTATCATATGTTATTATTTATTTAAAACTAATTCACAGCCTTTTAATCCCTAACAGCCAATGTGTGGAACAGTCATGTCTAACGAACTGTCATTTCTGCTTTCCGCTGTCGCGTTCTTTCTACATTTGTACATGCACGTAAAACTTAAAATCATTTTTAAACGATACTTATGAAATCAACGATTGAATCTATAAATGCATATATAGGGTTGGATTCTGTTGAAGATTTGGTGTGTTTTTTCTGCAATAAAAATAATTATATAACAACTTAGACGGTTCTTTTTATTCCAACTATCTCACGATTTTCTACTGATTCCTTCGTAAACCAATTGTTTATAATTTATCATGAATGTATGAATGTGCACCCTCTTACGTTTATAGAATATGCTGAAGTACACTGCTGCTCAGTTTGCCTAAGAATTTTCTATTCATATTCATGCAAATTTAACTCTCTCTAAAGACTGGGACGACAGTCAAATAGTTTCAATTGCCAACAACGTCAGTTTTCAGGGGGGTATCGCACATCGATCTTATCTCAATATTTTTACAATTCTTTAGCTAGAAGCTGCGCCCATCTGTACGGATTAGGAGTGAGGAAAGATGGTGTTTATACAATCAATCCTGATGGCCTAGGATCGTTTCAAGTCAGATGTAATATGAGCACAGACGGTGGAGGCTGGACCGTGTTTCAAGGAAGACAAGATGGAAGTCAAGATTTCTACCTTGGATGGTCAGACTATAAAGCAGGCTTTGGTGATCTTGACGGCGAGTTCTGGTTGGGCCTTGATAAAATACATCGTTTGTGGAAATCTGGCCAAAATGTTTTAAGAGTTGATTTGGTGGATTTCAATGACGCTGAACGTTACGCTAAATTAATATGGAACGTTTAGTGTGGCTGATGAATCAGACAAATACAGATTGAATATTGGCAGTTACTCAGGTAAATCAAACCTTGGGATAGATTTTGACATCTTTATTTAATCGTACATAATAGCAGGTATGCAGCGATTACACGAATCACGCTAATTTCAACAAGAATATTTGTTTATATCAACTCATTTAAGAACTATAAATCACGCAGTTTATATAACGCATAGGAAGATTTTAAACATCATATTTCATGGTTGTACGCTGGTTTTCACAGATAATAACACCACCATGCACTAGTTTTTGCATTGACCATATTAATTTTTATGCATTTGGATTATTCTTAATAATTCGTTTGACTATTTTCGTCAGCAAAAATCGAGGAGGTAATCAAGCGATTCATAAAAATTAATTATTTTGGATTTCTCTCTGTGCTACTTTTGGGGCACAATGCAAGATTATTACACAAGTCATTTTGTCATTACGATTTGTTAAAGTTTAACTTAATATTTGTTAATGAAACGAAGGATAACTAAGCATGGCTTAAAAAGATTCTCTATTTCATATGAATATGTCTAGCAACTTGACAAAACGCTTTGACCACTAAAAACAGCATGGTCAGAAAATTGACCGAGCGGTTGATAAAATTACAGA